TTGAGGATTCGTGACACGTATTCGACATTCAAGGTATGTTAAGACTTTCATACTTCGTTGAAGCACATTTTTTTCTAATTAAGGATTAAAAATGGAATAGACCATGGGTAAGGGCTAAAAATGGGGGTCTCGTACCAATGATGTGACGGACATTAGTACGAATACCTGTATTATAAAGTGAAAGTTTATTAATATAGTAGGCGGATTGTAATCAGAGAATGCCAAGGCATTAGCTGATGTATTATTGACTTGAATTCTTTTGTGTGATTGTGTTTCTTTATTGAACCAATATATTTGTGATAGTTGAGGTGGTTATATATTATGTTGATATTTGATTGATTGAGATGCATCATCATTCCTTTTATTGAAACCATATTATGTGCATGCATTGACATGAGATTGAGTACAATTTGGGCACGTGGAGATCATCCATGCTGGGAATGGTAAGATGTTAAAATTATCATTTGGGCACGTAGAGATCGTCCGTGCAAAAATTGTTTGATTTTATGATAGTTCATTAAGATCGTCCGCACAGACACGTGGAGATCGTCTGTGTCGGTATATGGACCTAGTGAGTCCCCCGTGGGTCATGAACTCTCGATGTATTTCTGAGGAGTATCATGTATATACGATTGAGGGAGTATGTGGTATCTCAGGCATATCATTTCATGGTGTCGGTCTATGAGATATACTGGGTACACGTGGTTTCGTACTCATACTACACTTGTTGTACTCTTATGTGGTGCATATTGGACTTCAATTTCGAGTGCATTTCGTGGAGCTTTAAGAGTTGAGTTTTGAATTATGTCAAAGTTGTGGTGAGCTACTTGGCTATTATGTGGCCCACACCTCCCTCTATGTCTTTAGACGTTATCATTTTATTTTAGTATTTAGACAAAATATTTTTCACGTCTAGATTTGTCAATTAGTTCTAGACTTGTATCGTAGTTTAGAAGCTCTTGTACTTATGACACTAAATCTTGGGGTGGTAATTTAGGTTTCCGCATTTCATACGTATAAATGACTTAGTGTTTGTTTATTATGTTTTCGCTTATCTTTCTACTTAAAATATTGAATTGATTTGGTCAAAGTATTGGGTTGGCTTACCTATCGGTTGGGAACATAGGGGTCATCTTTGGGTCGTGACAGTATATATATATATATATAAAGGAGAAACATAGAGAAGGTGATGTGACACCTCTCTATGGCCTCCATTCATATTGATCTATTTTCTCTTTTTTTAAACATTTTTCCATCATTATTTATTTATTTTATTTATAATATCTTAAATAGTTTTCACATTCAATTAATCTACTTTTCACCTACAACTATAATATATATTTAATATCTTTAATAAAATAAGAAATAACTACCAATAACTCACACATCTTCAACTTAATAATATTCAGAACACCCTTTTTTTAATCTTCATAACCCCAAAAGTTAATTTGTAAGTTTATGTCTGATGGTATTCCTCCTCTTTGTCTATATAAATTCATATTTTGTATCAAGAAAATTGTCATTCAAAGTTACTTTTTCATTTCTCCATCACCATATCATACATTAGTGTCACAACCCAAAAATGGATGTGATGGCACTCGTCTTATCCCACCAAGACAAGTTAGCCTACAACTCAACCATTTCGATAAAGTGCAGCAAGAAAATAAAAATAGAAGTTCAATAACAATTACTAATACGGATAACAAGTCAACTCAACTAAATCCCCAAAACCTGGTTGTCACGTGCACAAGCGGCTAATGTAAATACTAGAATTGAAAGAAAGTATGTAAGTCTCAAATGACGTTGACTCTCAAGTAAAACAAAATCATAAACAAGAGTAAGAAGGTTTGCTGAGATGACAAACAGTTACCTCACAAATCTCCACAGGAAACCTTAGAAAAGAAGAGAATAGAAGGTATCATGAAGATCTGGGCTCGTAATTTACAAAAATGTAGAAGCAAGGGATAAGTACGAAACCACACGGTACTCAACAAGTAAACTTCTAAACACAAACTAAGGGAATAAAATATGGGTACTCCTTGCACCCCATCCGAACCTCCACAACTACAACCTGCATAAAACCAGGCCAACCTAACAGTTTACATAGCACACAACTCAACAACAACGCTCTAACAAATTATATATCCTCAACAACAAACTCAATATGCATCAATCACAACTGGCACTCACAAGATCAACAACACACAAGATCAAGTTCATCAATGATAAAAATGTGCAATGCAATGAAATGCAATGTCAAGTATAGGTATGCATGTTTGACTTAATGATACACACCCGCTGTCTCTCAATCCAGGACTCATGAGGGACATATCTGTCAATGCATCCGTCGCGTCGTGTGACACGACCTTTGATAATAAAATTCATCGCGGCGTGTGACACGTCCCTCAATAATGGAATTCGTCACGGCCTGTGACACGTCCCTCGAAATAAAGTATCAGTCGCGGCACGCGACACTTCTCTCGAAATAGTACATCCTCGTTAATTTCTTATTCTTCCTCAATTCACATAACACTTATCACAATCATGTGATAGAACCAGTGCAAATTACATGTTCACACAAATAATGAGGAGATGACCATTTTCATAACAATGCACAATTTATAACAACACAACTGTGATACATAAAAAATTAATCAATAAGCCTTTCAAATCATTCTCAAACATCACACACTAATAATTAATCACATATGCCTTTTATTATTCTTTTTTCCATCATTAGAATTATACAACACAGACAAGTCAATCCATCACTGATTCCCATTACTCCATAACACATAACACAAGGAAATACACAATTTTATGCACTTAACAAGGGTTTAGAAATCCACTTGCCTCAATTAATCAACAATTCACTCTGGTACTTGAGCCTTCCCTTTTCGTTGAGCTTCCAAATCAATGCAATCTATTCAAGTACATAATCACAATAAGATTTCGAAACTGACAACACTCATACATTACTTTAGGTTCGGCCTAGACCCAAAAACTCACCCAAATCTATAATCAAGTTCTTAAATCTTGATGTCAATTAACATGCCAACTCTTTCAATTTTCTACAAATTTCAAGCCTAGGCTTAAGTTCCAATTTCTCCAATATCATAAATGTGCTAATATTCATATAATATAATCACCTAATATTTAATTACATATTTTAATATTATTAAAACTTGATTTATGAGTTAACTATAACAATAAAGTAAAAGAAGAACCCTAAATTAGTGGCAAACCTGTATCTTAGGTTGCTAAACGAAACAACAAGTCATTCGTACTCCAAACACTGTCATATAACTATTAATCATCACCCAGTTAGTCACTATTATTCATTGATTACCCACTATCAAACTTATTCCAAAATTATCAAAATTTACAACCAATCATGTGATTTGTTGTTTAACTTTGAAGAACCTCGCCCGTTCCTTCTTTTCCTTTTTATTTCTTTTATGAATTAATTATGTACTAAAAGTGATAAATTTTACTCACATATTTATTATATATGGGACAAATAGTATAGGGTCTTAAATAGATTCAGACTTGGCCCATTATTATTAATAATAAACAAGTTACCCGCAAATTAATTAACTATAGCTAAATGGCTATTCAAAATTATAAAAAATGACCTTTCGGATCAGCGTCATTACATTATCCACCAATAATAATTATGTTCATCCTCGAACATAAATTTAAAGGAAGTAACTAAAGTTTCAAAAAGGTGAGGATATCGGGCACGCATGTCAGACTCAGTCTCCTAAGTTGCCTCTCCATCTGAACGATGTTTCGACTGCATCTTCACTGAAGCAATATCCTTGGTCCTAATATTTTGAACCTGCTTATCTAATATAGTTATAGGCTCCTCCTCGAATGTCAAGTCTGGACCCAACTTCACTGAATCGAGTGAAAGCACATGAGACTCATCCGGAATATACTTCTGAACCATGGAGACATGGAAAACAGGATGAACCGCAGATAAACTAGGTGGAAAGGCCAATTTATAGGCCACCTCTCACACTCGGCTCAAAATCTCAAAAAGTCCAATGAATCTAGGGCTAAGTTTTCCCTTCTTCCCGAACTGCATCAAACCCTTCATGGGTGATACTTGGAGCCAAAGATGATCACCCTCCATAAACACTAAGGCTCTAACTCTCCGGTCTACATGACTTTTCTGTCGACTCTGGCCTGTCAACAGTGTATAGTGAGTCATACGGACTTCATTCATAGGAACTCTAAGCAAGTCTATATCTAAAGAGTCCATCCTAGCCGAATCGAACCAACCGATCGGAGATCTACACTGTCTGTCATACAATGCCTCAAATGAGGCCATCTGAATACTGGAGTGATAAATATTATTGTAGGCAAACTCTGGTAAGGGAAAATGTCGATCCTATCTAGCACCAAAATCGATCACACAGGCTCGAAACATATCTTCCAACACCTGAATCGTCCGCTCAGAATGACTATCTGTCTGAGGATGAAAAGTCATACTCATATCTAATTGAGTACCCAAACCATGCTGTAATGCTTTCTAGAAATGAGAAGTGAATAATGAACCTCGATCAGATATAATAGAATTCGAAACTCCATGTAATCGCACAATCTGACTGATATATAACTTGGCTAACTTCTCCGCTGTATACTTCACCCGAACCGGAATAAAGTGGGCAGACTTGGCGAGCCTGTCAACAACAACCCAAATGGAGTCATAACTACCCACTGTGGTAGGCAAACCCACAACAAAGTTCATAGTGATCCGCTCTCACTTCCAAGTAGGAATATGCATCCTCTGAGATACACCATCGAGACGCTGGTGCTCACACTTGACATGTTGGCAAGTCAAACACCTAGAAACAAAGTCTGAAATATCCCTCTTCATCTCACACCACCAGTAATGCTGACTCAGATCATGATACATCTTCGCCACTCCCAGATGGATGGAATATCGAGAACAATGGGCCTCCTCAAGAATCAATCTAATCAACTCACCCGTCTTAGGCATTCAAATCCTGCCTCCGATCCTCAAGACACCACCAAAAATCAAAGACACCCTCCTTGGCTTCCCCGCTCAACACTTTGTCTCGAATAAGACATAACTTCTTATCATCAAATTGGTGCTCACGGATCAGCTCGACTAAAGAAGACCGAGCCTCAATAAAAGTAATCATCTCATCACTTTCCTCTGAAATCTGCAATCGGGCAAGACTGTTAGCTAACATCTGAACATCTCTAGCCAACGGTCTCTCCTCAATACTAAGCGCTGCAAGACTTCCCATGCTAAGAGTCTTCCTACTAAAAGCATCGGCCATGACATTGGCCTTCCCCGGATGATATAAAATGGTTACATCTTAGTCCTTCAGCAACTCAAGCCATCTACGCTGCCTTAAGTTCAATCCCTCTGACTTAAGATGTACCGAAGACTCCGATGATCGGTGAATATCTCGCAATGCACCCCATACAAATAGTGACACCATAACTTAAGTACAAAGACCACAACCGCCAACTCCAAATCATGAGTAGGGTAGATCTTCTCATATGTCTTCAACTTCCTAGAAGCATAAGAAATCACCTTCCCCTTCTGCATGAATACACCACCCAAACCGACTTCTGAAGCATCACAATGTACAGTAAAGTCCACACACTTCTCTAGTAGAGTTAACACAGGGACCAAAGTTAACAAGGTCTTGATCTTTTGAAAGCTCTCCTCATGGTCATCAGACAACTGGAAACCCACACCCTGTCGAGTCAATCTACTCAATGGAGCTGTAATAGTAGAGAAACTCTAGACAAATCATCGGTAATAGCATGCCAATCCCACGAAACTCTAAATTTTGGTAGGAGAAGTAGGTCCCGTCCAACCTCTAATTGCCTCAATCTTGACCAAATCTACTTTAATACCCTCTTTGGACACCACGTTTCGCAATAATGCCACATAATTAAGCCAAAACTCGCACTTTGAGAACTTGTCATACAACTTCTCTTCCCTCAACCTCTGAAGTACAATCCTCAAGTGTCGAACATGATCCTCCTCAGTCTTAGAGTAAACCAAAATATCACCAATGAAGACAATCACAAAAGAATCAAGATATGGTCGAAGCACCCCGTTTATCAACTCCACAAATGTTGCAGGGGCGTTAGTCAACCCAAAGGACATCACTAGAAACTCATAATGCCCATATCGAGTCTGAAAAGATGTCTTAAGGATATCTGATGCCCTAATCTTCAACCGATGATATTCGGACCTCAAATAAATCTTAGAGAACAATGATGCTCCTTGTACCAGATCACATAAGTCATCGATACGTAGAAGAGGATACTTATTCTTCACTGTTACCTTGTTCAATTGTATATAATCAATGCACATCCTCATAGTCACATCCTTCTTCTTCACAAACAACATAGGCGCACCCCAAGGTGACACACTAGGGCGAATAAAACCCTTACTCAATAAATCCTGCAATTGATCCTTCAACTTTGTTGGAGCCATACGGTAGGGAGGAACAAAAATGGACTTAGTTGCCGACTCCAACTCAATAGCAAAATCAATATCCCTATAGGAGGAACACCTAGAAGATCAGAAGGAAATACATCAAGAAACTCCTGAACCATGGGAACAGAATCCATGGGAGGTGGTTCAACACTAGTGTACCGAATAAAATCTAAGTAAGACAAACACCCTCTCTCCACTAATCTGTGAGCACAGATGAAGAAGATGAGCTTGATAGGATAAGAGCCACTAGTTCCCTCCCATTCAACCCTCGGAACACCAGGCATTGCTAAAGTTACCATCTTAGCATTACAATCAAGAATAGCATGATAAGAAAAAAGACAATTCATACCCAAGATAACATCAAAGTCTACCATCCCCAGAATGATTAAGTCTACCTAAGTGTCATACCCCACCAAAGAAACAAGACAGGATCGATAAACTCGATCCACCACTAAGGGCTCACCCACGGGTGTAGAAACGTGAATAGGTACAAGCATGCTATCACATATCATATCAAATTCAACAGCAAAATATGTAGACACATAAGAGAAAGTAGACCCCGGATCAAACAATAAAGATGCAGATCGATGACATACTGGGATGATACCTATAATAATAGCATCAAAAGTCTTCGCCTCGGATCTCCTTGCTAAAGTATAACAGTGGGCCCCTATGCCACCTCCAGCTTGAGTGGTACCTTTACCCCCACTCTGCTGAGCTACACAACCGCTACTAGAAGCTCTACTACTTCTACCTGACTGAACTCTGCCTCGACCTCTACCCTGCAGTACCGGTGGTCTAGTCTCAAATGAAGAATTAGGTTGGGGTCCTCCACGACCCCTCTAGGAAGTACACTGTTGCATCAGATGATCGGGATCTCCACAACTAAAGCAAAACCTCTAACTCGGGAACTGCTGTGCGGATCCTGAAAACCCACAATAATTGCCTCGCCCTGTGGGTCACTGCTATGAACCGTACGATCCCTGACCCATGCTATAAGAACCTTGAGATATCAGACAACCTCGGATATCGACATAGATGCATGAATGGGTCCCCGATGCTGAAAGGAACCAACCCTATATGTGATCCCCTGCCTCCACATGAGGCACCATAAAACTGACCTAATGTACAGGCCCTCTTAGGGTCCCCAAACTCCTCTCTCTCCTTCAATTTTACCTCTTTGGCGGCGCTCACAATGGACTGAAAGGAAACCCCTTCTCGAGATGCCCTAAACACAGCCAATCTGATAGAGAAAGTCAGCCCCCTCACAAATCTACGGATCCTCTCTGTCTCGTCTGGAATAATGGCCAAATCATGCCTAGACAATTGGTAAAAATGATCCTCATATTCTGTAATAGATAATTTGTCTTGTCTTAGATTCTCAAACCTCAAATGACTCTCCTCTCTCACGCTCCAAGTGATAAAATAGTCATGAAAGTTACTGAAAATGTAACTCCCCATATTTGAAACAAACCACAAATGTCGATTTTGAGAAGTTACAGGCGCAACCCACATTTGCCATTCACGGACCGTAGGTCAGACCACGGCCCGTGCTGGTGGTCTGTGGTTTACCAATGCAACCTCTGCCCAAACCCAGCTTAGAAAATCGGCTAAGTCTCGACCCACGGACAGACCCATGGTCCGTAGGTCAGACCACGGTCCATGGTCTGTATCCGTGGATTAAGAGCCCCTTTACCCAGCCTCTGACGCAAACGATGGCCGACCAGCACGAAAAGTCATTCGATCCACGGTCCGTAGGTCTGACCGTAGGTGAGGGTTAGCAGTCAGTTAGAGGAAAATTGTTGATTGGGTCAACTTAAAATGATCATAAATCTTAGCACAAAAGGAATTATGTGTCCCATGACTATGATATGATAGATAATTGAATCCTCTTTCCAACGGCACCGAGTTTACTAAAATCTGACCTCCGAGAAAAGAGTTATGCTTGTTTTAGTGAAGCCCTGTCGGGCAGACTTGACCTATGATCCCAATCTACGGGCCATAGGCCCGTAGGTCCCGTCCGTCGGTCACTCCGATAGCAGTTAAGTCAGGGGTCTGTTGGTCTTTATCTATTTCGCTGGATCCCTAAGCTACGTCATTTAGACCCTAAATTATGAGGTTTTAGTCAGTTTAAGCGTAGAAACATAACTAGAACTTACCTAAGTCCAATCATTAATCAAAACTTAGAAAATTAGAGCGTAAGAGGAGAAGAGAAGTCAAGAACCCTAGTTAAAGAACGCAGCAAGTTTCTTCAGTTCCAGCCCAGAAATCAAAGGATTTCTCCATGAAATTCGTCACCAAATATGTGGAATTTCACTAGTGGGTAGATTTTACCCATTAGGTCCCTAGTTTTCACTTAGTTTCTTGATTCCCTTATTATGACTAGACCTAGGGTTTCTTGAATGTTAGAATTATTGGGTTCTTAGCTATTAAAATGATCCAAATCAGATTAATATGTTAATATTCAGTTTATTGCATAAATTCCAGAATCCTAGCTATGTATTTCTTTAGTTCTTGAATTACACATGTTAAGGTAAGATATTTCAATTAGTCAGATATACATGCCTTATTAGTTTAATTGTTGCATACTCAGTTTGCATGTTCAGTTTTAGCTATCCAGTAACTTACAGAAATTCAGTCATAATGTGTTAATCACTTAATCCATTGGGAGTAGCATAATACCGAGTTGGACTAGGGTTCAGCATACCCAAATAGTTCCAGAACTACTAGCCACGTAGGTTGTAAGTCCCCTCTGTGGGCATCATTTCAGTGATCACAGCAGCATGCCTTTATACCTCTGGCAGGGTATATTGGGTCCTCTTGATGGGGCGTATACATCGAACTCCACATTTTGCTCATGTGGTTTTATTATCGATTATTAGTAGCTCCCACGATTCAATCAGATTCTATTGCATTGACCATTTATCAATATATCCAGTATTCAGTTTCAGCATGTTATAAATTGGTCACTGCATTCAGTTATCTTAGCATTCAGTATCTTTGTCATGTTTAGATTATATCATTGCTTATTTTTTTGTTAAGTTATATGTTATTTCTGTGGTATTCTATGATGCATGCTCAGAACCTTTCAAGTACTGACGCATACTCTGCGCTACATCTTCTCGTAATGTAGGTTCAGGTTCTCAGCATCTAGATCACGCTTAGATCGGTTCCCGATCTCCAGTTCAGCAAAATCAGTGGTGAGTCCTCATTCTCTGAGGACAATAGTCATAAGCTTCTTTTCAATATTTTTAGTCCTTTAGTTTCATTTTTGCTAGACTTAGCTAGGGCCTGTCCTAGCATTTCTAGTTAGTTATAGGCTATTTTCAGACATAGATAGATTCAGCTTAGTATTGAGTTAATATCTTCCTTGTATTAAACTCATCAGTTTTCATATATCTCAGTTATAGTTTATGGGTATTCCCTATCGTTTCATTTTGTTTATGATTATATCTTTTGCACAGTTTCTATTATTCAATTTATATTTAGTATGCTCATGATCATGCCAACAGGGTTAACTTGGGATCACTTGTGGTTCTAAGTCCCGTGTCCGCATCCCGGGTAGCTCGGGGTGTGACAGGAATTATCTCCCAAGTCACGGGAAGAAATCCAACTAGCAAAGACCCCGAATAGACTCTGCACAACTCTTTCGTTGGCCCACGAAACTGGAGTGTAGCATACTGAACCCCATAACTTGGGCTTTGTTTATTGATCCTTGCATTAATTAATTGTTTTAGACCAAGAACAAGTTGAATGACTCTGAAAAGGGAAGGGTCAAGTGTCTTAGGAGTGTTCAGGTTTGGTTTCGAGGTAAGTGATGGTTTGACTTCCCGTTGTGTTATATATGCCCGTTAGTTAATCCATTGTGTGCATGCATGTATGTGAATAGGGAAACATGAATCAAATGTAATGAAATGATTAAGTATGAACAATTACATGTCCTGAACCTGTTACTTGACTGTCAAAGTAGGTGCACCGTTCATTATGGGTGTGATTGTGATTGTGGTTGTGCTGACTGGATCAGGTGTCACGTTACGACACACATATATTGGACCGGGTGTCATGTTCCGACACATATATTGGACCAGGTGTCACGTTCCGACACATATATATTGGATCAGGTGTCACGTTCCGACACACTAACAATTTGGGTATGGATTCCATCAGAGGACCATTTATGAGTACTACATTATTATATCTACCGGTCATTGATATTGGGGAATTGTATATTTCTCTTAAAATGATAATTGAATTATGCATCCTGTACGTATATGTGTGTTTACTGTGTTGTGATTATTTGCTTATATTTTGCTTACTGAGTAACCGAGTGATCCTACTAGTACACCATTGTTTCGTATACTGATACTGAACTTGCTCTTTATTTGTTGAGTACATGGCATCTTCAGGCAACTACTGAAAGACCCCAGCTAGGAGATCATTGACCGACACTGGATTCGAAGGTGAGCTAGTTCTTTCAGGCTGCCATGGATTCATCATTAGTTTAATCCATTCCTTTCGTACTGAGATAATATTTTCAGACTTTTACGTATGTTTAGTTTTCGGGGTTGCACCCCATTTTCCTTAGACTTTTTGATTAGTAGAATTTTGGTACAATGACTTTCAGGTCAAGGGGTTGAATTTCAGCGAGGTTTATGCTTGCTTGTTTTTGTTAAACCTTCAAAGTTTATGGGAACTCAGTACTTAATTCACCATTTAAATCTGTTTCCATATCTTTAAATGGTTTAGTTTCTTTAAGTTTCTTAGTCGGGTTGTTTGTACTAGTTCTCCCACCGAAGGGTCAGTGTGAGTTCCAATCATGGCGGTATGGGTCGTGACACGGTTTGTATTAGAGCCATATGTTCGTTGATCTCAATGTACCAAAACAAGTCTAGTAGAGTCTTGTAGAGCGGTACAACAAGGTCTTTAGTTTTCTCTGAGAGGCTACAGGACTTTAGGAAATCTCTATGTCTTCTTCTCCTTTCGTGCTATGAATTGATACCAATTGGTATCTGGTGATCCAATTTGGTATCTAATCTCCTTCCATCTTCTGTCCGCAGATGATTAACCCACAATACAACGATGTCATAACTCTTATTAATGAGCCAGTAGAGGAGCTCGTAGAAAGAGGCCATGGTCGAGGTAGGGTTGAGAAAGAGGAAGGGGTAGAGGCCGAAGAAGGGTAGCACCCACTAGGGGTGAAGCCCGAGTTGTGAATGTTCCTAGGTAAGAGGCCCTTCCTTCACCCCAAGAAGACGTGGAAGAGAATGTGGAGATCGAAGTCGAGGAGGATATTGGACCAGAGGAGGACACACAGGCTGAGACTTAAGATCTTCCTCCCTTAGACCTAGTGATAGCTCACTAGATCATGGATTTTCTGAGTGGGTTGGTCGGCTTTAGAATGCTTCCCACAGTGCAAGTTGTTCAACCTCCAGTCAACCACGCCATTACTGCTATTGTTCCCAAGGTGGATGGAGAATTAGGTACTGATGCCTTCTTCCGTCCCCTATTGGGTCCTCTGATGAGTGGTACTGAGCATGAGATGTTGACTAAGTTTCTGAAGCTGAAGTTGCCTGTGTTCCTTGGTTCTAAGAGTGAGGATGCCTATGAGTTCATTCTGGATTGCTATGAGAGGCTTCACAAGTTAGGCATTCTACACCACCGTGGAGTAGAGTTAGTGACCTTCTAGCTTCAAGGTGAGGCTAAGCAGTGGTGGAGGACCTTTGTGGAATGCAGATCGCCAGTCTTTCCCCCACTCACTTGTATGCAGTTCCATGGTTTGTTTCTCGAGAAGTATGTGCCTCTGACTTTAAGGGATCGCAAAAAGGATGAGTTCATGGCCTTGAAGCAGGGTGGTATGACTGTAGCTGCTTATGAGGCTCAGTTACGTGCTTTTTCCAGAAATGCTACACAGTTGGTGACTACAGAGGAGGAGAGTATTCATCTTTTCGTCAAGGGATTGAATTCTGAGTTACATGTATCGTCTGTTCACATGAGCTCTGCAGGTAAAAGTTTTAATAAGGTGACAGACTTTGTGAAGAAAGTTGAAGGAGTTCGACTTGATGGGAAGGCCAAGGTTGTGGCTAAGAATCCCAAGAACACATATAACTTTCATGGTTCCTATTCTAGAGGTTCAAATAGGCCCACAATTGTAGCCCATCCAATTCAGTCAGCCATGCCCGCTTCTACAGGTGGTTACTCGAGAACTCCACAACAGAATCCTATTTAGGATAGTCAGGGAGCCGCACCTGCGTGTGGCAGCACACCGTCTTTTGACCTCAGTTGTTACAATTGTGGAGAACCTGGACATATGAGGAGAGATTGTCCCCAACCGCGCATGCTTGACACAGTGCAAAAGTAGTCCTGAGCATTGGTACCAATGAGCTACGGTAGTAATGGAAGAGGACGTCCACAAGGTGGGTAAGGAGGAAATTAGAGAGGCTGTGGAGGCCGAGGAAATGGTA